CATTCATTCATTCATTCATTCATTCATTCATTCAATTTATATAGCCGCCCATCTCAGACCAGTGACTCTGGGTGGCTAATAACAATATTTTGTATGAATAGTGCTCTATGCTTTGGCTGTGTAAAATAATCCCCAAACTTAGCAATAGGAGGATTTTCTTCCTGAAGAAACTTATTAGTCATATATGGAAGAAGTTGAATTAGGATTAAGCATGTTTTTTAAAATGATTCAAATCTGTGCCAAGCAAACTCTTCTCTAAGGCCAAACTGAGTCGGGTAGCTGTATATATTTAAGTTTCACAACACTGGGTCAAGAATTCTGCTTTCTACAGGGAGAAAGGAATTTCTAATTAAGTCTGGGATAGCTGAAAAGGAAACAGCTTAGGGGCTAGGGAAAATAATACAGGGAGAAAAAAAATAATTAAGGAAGAACAGGGAACAGTTGTGTGTAACCCAGGAAGTCAAGACCATATTGTATTTGAATGCTGTCCTGCCAAATACATGTTATTGAAAAGGTGACCATAGGATAATGACAGTGTTTGGTTCCCTGAGTGGACCTTAATACAATGGCATGTAATATTCTTTTTATTCCTGTTCATGTTGTAGGATATTCTTATGATACTCTTCCGGAAAGGACCATTCACTGAAGGCATATTCCGGAAAGCTGCTAATGAGAAGGCACGCAAGGAGCTGAGAGAGGAATTAAACGCCGGAGACAATGTTGCCTTAGAAAAAAAATCTGTATATCTGTTAGCTGCGGTTTTTAAGGTATACATATGTTAATTTGGTTTCTCACTGTAGGTTCTCAAGTATTAGGAACAGACATTCCTATTAACAATACAGTTAGGAAATAAAATCCGCTGTTGTTGCTTCTTACTTATTTAGCCTCCTAATGGAAAATGTTGGGAGATAGCGCTACTATTTTTATGATCTATCACTGAATTTGGGATACACAATCCCAGGGACCAAATTGAAAGAGTTCCAAGATGCATGTAGGCTGTAGGTCACCCACTCTGATTTAACATAAGTTTATTTCTTGCAGGATTTCCTCCGAAACATTCCGCACAAGCTGTTGCTGAGTGAGCTTTATGATGAGTGGATGACAGCATTGGAAAAAATAAATCCTCAAGAGAGAACTGAAGCCATGAAAGGGTAAGTGAAGCATCTCTTCAAGAGTGGCTTTTTGTCGTTCTGTGAGTTGCAGCACAAATAGGCAGTTTCTGAAGTTCTTACTTGGATACTTCCAGGCAAATGATTCTTAACACAAGAAGCCAAAAGGCATTATGTGGGTTTCCTCTTTAATCCCACACTTGCAACAAAAAAAGATGGAAGAGAATTATGAATGGGAAATGATATAATTAGTACCCTTCCCCATTTCACCCCCAACTAAAATTTATTTATTTGATTGATTGATTGATTGATTGATTTCTATAGCTGCCCATCTCAGCAAGTGACTCTGGGCGGCAAACAATCGTAAAAACATAAACAATTAAAAACAGTTACAGCCAATACAAAATAAATATATGTGGTCGCCGAGAAAAATTATTGCCATAGATGTCAATATAGCCAGGAAACGGGGCCCTTATCACACTTGGGGCCCCAAGCCCAGGCATATAGCCAGGTCTTCAAAATCCCAAAAGCAGGGTAAAACTCTGATCTGGAAAGTCTGATTGATTCCTGTGGAAATGATATCTAAGTTTATATATATTTCATATTAAAGTTTTCCTACATCTATCTATTCTGAAATGATACCGATTTGAAAGCATTTCTTAATAGCTGTACTGAAGTTTAACCCTAAGTATGTTTAAAACAGCACTCTTTGTTAATGGGTCTTGCTGTCAAGTAAGTCTGCTTTATAGTGCAGCCTAACCAATGAGCCCCTGAATTTTTACTCATAGTCATTCTCACTGAATTCAGTAGAACTTCTTCCCCAAAAACTGTGGTTAGGTTTGTGTCTTGTTGCAGTTGTCAGATGCTTACTTGTGAATAGACATGTGTAGGTTTCCTTATTTTTATTCATCTTCACATAAAGCTGGGGAGCTGTTCATAAGGGGCAAACAATGTAGAAGGAATGAATCCTCATTGCAAACACTAGCAATGGGGAGAATAAAAGCGTAACGGCTTTTGCAATAATACCACCTTTTCCCTTCCTTCCATTTCAGGAGGGTGGGATGCGCGGGGCAGCAGTCGTATCATCCCATAGCCAAATCTGACTGACTCCATGACACCCCAATGTCATCAATTCATTTCAAATTTGAAGTCACACCAGAATAAAATGCAAGGAATGAAATGTGCTTAACTCTGGCCATACCATATTCTGATATATGGGGGGGGGGGAGAGAGAGAGAGAGAAAGAGTCCCATAAGACACACCAACTAATAGAAATAGTCCTCATTTAGTGACTGCCTCATATAATGACTGTTTGCAGTTACGACAGTGATGAAAAAGTAACTTTGTGACCAATCCTCTCATTTACGACCTTCACAGGTCTGTAAAGCAAAGGAAAGTTGAAGTAGGGTCATAAGAACAGCTGCGGTTTCACATAGCGACCCCTTCACTTAACAACTGAGTTGCCAGTCCCAATTGTCGGTAAACAAGGACTACCTGTAATATCCCCAGTTGATTAATAAGGAATTAATCTAAATACCACATAATGGAAAAGGACATACCACACATATCTTACATATGTCTAATTATAAATTTAAGAGCCTGACGTTTTGCCCCATAACTTTGCCAAGAGACAGAACGATTTCTGCTTGGTGTCTAGTCAAGAATTCATGTTTACGTGCTATCAAAGGCTTTCACCGACTGCCCCCGGGACTTTTGAATGGGAATTTTGGGTGACCACTTTAAATCAACACTTCCACATTTTAGAGGAAGCATTAATCATAGAAGTGAATGTGAAGTCTAACTTAAAAAAAAAACAGAAGCTGCAATCTGAGGAGGATTTTTCTTTTTTCTTATGTTCATTTTTACAGGGTTGCAAGCAAACTGCCAAAGCCGAACCTTCATTTGCTCAAGCACTTACTTTCTCTTCTTCACCACATTAGCAAAAACTCAGAAGTCAACAAAATGGATTCTAGCAACCTTGCCATCTGTTTTGGACCAACCATGCTGAGTCCAAATAATGACAAAAGTCTGCCACTTGAAATCCAGAAAGAGCTGGCTGATAAGGTACCTGCGTTTTCTTTCCTGCTACTTCCACATTCTCTTTTAACCTTGACTATTTATTGACCAGCTACAAGGCGGCCAATTGCTACATGATGTGTCCTCCAGCAGGCCATTGGGCAGGAGAGAGATTAGAGGGAAGGGAGAGAGAGTAAAGAATCTCACAGGGAAAAAGAGGATGACCCAGGTTACATCCACTGTTGGCTTCAAGCCTGCTTACCTCCTGCATAAATCATTCCCAAGGAAATACAGCTCTCCAAAACTCAAAGCAAAAGTTCCCCACCCTGCTCTAAGAGCTCATAGGCAATTTATAAAAATCTTGGTCATCTTCTTGGTCACTGAGTCACAGCTGGTTAAGAAACTCCCTAACGTTTTAAGTACAGACTTCAGATCCTGTTGGCTGGAAAGTGGAACTTTCTCAGGTTATTTTTAGAGCTTGCGATGATTAAAAATCCTGCAATTGTGGTTCAGTGGCAAAGTCTAGTTCTGGCTTCAGGGCATAAGTCTGGGGAATTATGCAACCAGCTAAAGACATAGCAACACAATTGCAAAGTTATTCACATGGAAGATACAGCTTCCATAGGTTCAGATGAAGAGGTTAACAGGCCCACACAAACAAGGAAACAAGCGATGGAGATTATCTCAGAAGTATTTTATTCTTACTGAAAAGCAAGGCAGGATTTATAAAAGACAAGAATTCCGCACATTGTTTTTCTGCTTCTTCTCTTCAGGGCTCGAATTTACATATGGATTTCATATTAAGCCATTTTTAATATATAGTTCTATAATAGATTCCACTAATAATGTTAATGTTGAAATGATTCCAAGCTAATCTCCAATTAAAAGTATTCTTTGTTTGGCTTGCACAGGTGAAGGCACTGGTGGAATTCCTCATTAATAACTGTTCGGATATATTTGGAGAAGAAATCTACTCACTGTTCTGTATGAATACTGATAATTCCCTGGATATGTCAGGTACCCTGATTTTTCATGCCTTTGAAGTGTATATTTCCAATAGAGTCTGGCTAATCACCTTTCTCTGAGTGTGCTTGGATTTCATTGAAAGTGCTGTTTAAAGATGTTTGATTCCAGTTACTAGGGAAGTGGCTAAAAATAACCAGCTAGTAGCAATAGTGGGCCATTTCTAAATGTTAACTACAGATTCACAAGAGAGTCACCTGTCACTGAGGTTCCTTTCAAACCAAGGTAGAGAAGCAGAAATAATATATATATGTTAAGTTTTGGGAAGCTTCCTCAGAGAGATTGGGCCCAGCTTTAGATTCCCAATTTGTGGGTAACTGATTATAATATAGCATTATATGGTATTTTTTGGTAAACCAGGGACTATTTCTAAGTTTTATACATAAGGTTTTTTGTTTGTTTCTCTTTTTGTTTGTTTTTTCTGGTTTTCATTTTTTTTTTATGGATTGTTCAGTTTAATTTTATTATTTTTGTATACCTTGCTATTTTGCCTATATTTTGTACTCTTCTAAAATAAAATAAAAAAAAAAGATTTGCCTTTCTACTATGTTGGGGAAGAAGTCTTTATTCCTCAATTGCGAGTGATATACACATACTTTATAGCTGTTAGTGAAGACTGACTTATTTCTAAGGCTGATTCCACCTGTCCAACATTAGTCTTAACATTTCCTTTCCTTCCTCCAGAAACACTGTCACCAAACCAGCACCATGATTCTGCTTATGACAGCACAGACTTTGAAGGGGAATGCAGTTCCAGTGATCTTCAGTCCAAGGGCTTATCACACACTAGCAGGCCAAGCAGTACAGAACTGTACCCCAAACAGCCACTAACCCAGATCCCTTCTGCCTTGCCACTGACTCATTTTAAAAGAACAGTGAGCAAACTTGACAGGAGGTTCTCAGAACCAGACTTGTGGTCTTCCAAGGGCTCCCAGGAAGGCTGTGTGAGATTTCCAAAGCCTTCTAAAAGTGAGGAGAATTTTATTCTGCAGAAGGAATTGGGACAGAAGTGTAGAGGGCTGAGAATGAGAAAGCAGACAGTCGAATCCCATCTTTCAGGTCTCTACAGGAACAAAAAGCCATCAAATCTGACAATAAAAGGCAACTTGCCGTCAGAATTGTCCAGTGATTCTTTACTCAGCACATCTTCTTCCAGTTCACTAGACAGTGCTTCCTCTGTCTCGGACTCTTCTGTCTTCACTAGCTCACCACTCTCGTCACCTTCTATCTTCAAGAACAGTGTCTTAACTCAGCCACGGTCCTTCTCTCCCAAGATTTCAAATGGAAGTGACAGAGCTGTTCCAGAACTCAAGAAGCACTCCATGTCATTTTCTGTGGCAACCTGCAAGAAGATGCTGGCAAAAACTGAAAGTTGTGGCATAGGAGGCTTTCAGAGGGGCAGTTTCAAAAAGTACCCCAGGAAAGAAAGGCCTCTTTCCTGTCAAATTGTTCAAGCAACTCATGTGACTGTTCCCAGTCCAGAACCCCCAGGATGTCAACTGAGATCCCGTTTCATGTCAGCAGATGAAGTATTTCGACTTGTGGATCAGAAGAAACCTAGAAGTCCCCCTTCCTACGAAGAGGCAACCAAACACTTTTCTGCTGTTAGACTTCCATTACACAATAATTTAAGGGCTCCTCCTCTGAGGTTCGTCAAGGTGCCTCAGGATTCTAAATCTCAGTGCCTGAGGCTCAAGAAAGAGGTCACAAACAAAGCAAATGAGGACCTTTTTAATGACAGACCCTCTTTGATCAATGCCTCCCAGGACAAAACACCAGTGGTTGATTTTGTTATTGGAATACATTCACGGGCAAATTTGCCTCTGACCCCTCAAGTCTATCGCCTCAGGACCATGTCTGGGTCATATCAAAAGAACAAGCAAGAATACTTGACGCGACGGAGTAGTCAGATAACTTTTGAGCACTTACAGTGTGCAAAAGAATCCTATGTTTAACTTAATTTTCTCATTTCAATACAAATGTATACATTTTATGCAATGCATGAAAGCATGACTTTTGCCAAATACTATTACCTAAGCTCATATAAATCCAACTTTCCATAAAATTGTATTTTGTCTAGTGTCCTGTGTGATGCGCTTTGCTCTTTTGCCCACTTTGTACAAAATAATTATGTCCTAATC